ATAGAAGGGTGTTGGAGGGGGGTGTGCACGACGTATCTGAATAGCTTGAAGCATGAGCGGGGAGTTGCACAATGTATCTGAAGAGCAGGGAGGGATGCAGTGGAGAGGGGGTGCGCAACGTAATTTATGGACAAGGAGGGAGGACAACTTCCAAGAGATTTGTTTGTGGGCAACTTCCGGGAGACTTGGTATGTCAACCGTCATCATGGTCAACTCCACTCTGTCTCAAATCCTCCAACCTAACAAAGACTGTATGCAGTGAGCCACTGGACAAACAGCAGGAAAGCCGTCCATATGGAGGCAAGTGGTCATTAAGAAGCATGAAAAGGAACGGTGTCATATCGCCCCGTAGCGTTTAATGTAAACGGAGTCTTAAATTTCTCTCGCGAGTGTCATTAGCGCCTGCTGTTCTCACGTAAATCCAAGAGAGGCCGCTGTTGACTGACTGACCGACTAATTCCCTGAACCCAACCGACAGTATTCTGAGAAGCAATAAAGAAAAAGAAAAGCCCTCACGGCAGCCTGACATGCGCGCAATGTATCTGAATAACTTGGGGCATAAGCGGGGGGTTGCGCGATATATCTGAAGAGCAGGGAGGGATGCGCAACATAATTTAAGGACCGGGAGCAGTGCTTAATTTGTGAATTACAAAGTAACAGATCAGAACAGATCAGGGTAACAAATCCAGCATGTTACCTGAGGATGGAGAGATGACACGCACGAAAGTGGAGAGCGGGGGAGGGGTGCAGTGGGTTAGGCACTGGATGGCAGAGGGGTGTTGCGGGGGGTTGTTGCGGACGAAAGTGAAGAGGGTTGGGAAGTTGCAGAAGAAAGTGAAAGTGAACAGCGGACGGGGGAGGAGGGCAGTTGAGGAAGGGGAAATCGGTAAATTGAGGTGACAGATCCGAAGTGTTCGCCACAAATTAAGCTCTGACCAAGAGGGAAGGGCAATTTCCGGGAGACTTGGGCTGTCTGCCATCATCATGGTCAACTCCACTCTGTCTCAAATCCTCCAACATACCAAAGACTTTATGCAGTGAGTCACCGGACAAACAGCAGGAAAGCCATCCATATGGAGAGGCAAGCGGTCAGCTGGTAAGCGCATAAAGGAACGGTGTCAAATCGCCCCGTAGCGTTAATTTTAAAGCTGAAATGCAGCCATACGTACTTCTGGCTACATAATTCTCCATCTCCAAAAATGTATATGGGTATTTGCGTTTGCAACCATTTTGTGTTCAACCCACTTATATTTGTTAATTTAATTACGTTAATGTGTTGGACTTTGTTGTTACCACATAAGCATATTGTGCGATCCACTGCAATCGACAAGAGAGTTCATACTGGATAAACACAACTGACTCCCATGAACAGCACATTTATTGACCATTCAGCAGATAGCGTCCTATCTCTGTACAAGCAATATAGATTCTGTTAGCATATACTCTTTCTATGGTACAATGATCATTTACACAAATATACACAATTTAAAATATAAACTTGTTCCAAAGTACAACATATACTGTGTTTATCTTTTTTTATATATATATATTTGTTTATTTCACGACATAGCGTTTCATTGAGGCAGTCCACGCGCTTCAGTTTCGATGGAGAGTGGACGGCACACAGGCAACAGTAAAGCGGGCTCAATCAGCACTAACCGAAACGGTGACATGGAAGAGGAATTGCTGTTTTTTTTTCATATTCAGGATGACCTACAGTACAGCTGGGCTGGATAAAACTCTTTGGATCATGCACTATCAGGCCTTTCTTTATGCATTGACCGTGATTGTCGGTTTATTGAAGTTCATTGCTCTGCTACGGTGCTGTTTGCTCCACTCAACGCAACTCAACGTATTGTTATTGTTGTTTGTATGGCACATTTAAAACAGTCTTGAATCATGTGCACTTGAAAAGATGTCCATTGTGCAAAACGATATCTCCTCCACACCGATCCCAAGTGCATAATGTAGTGATCAAATCAAAAGTGTATGAGCACACACTCTCATTCGAACACGTTCATAAGACAACATGCTTGTACACATGCACGAACATTTCTCTCTTTCACACATGCACGCACACTATGGCAAGCTGTTTTAGTATTTAATGCACCCAGTTTCATGCTACTAGTACTTAAAGCCTGTTATCTGTTCAATTAAGTGCTTGGTGCTCATTTATTAGCTATTAGTAGTAGTTTTAAAGATATTAGCACTTAACAATTAGTTCTTATTTATTAAACACCAATATATATAATACAACAGTGATGGTAATTATTCTATTGTTTGAACAATTCACATTTTTGACGTTCTGTTGTTCAGATATTAACAATTCACTTCTGGCTAGTGTGTATTCTAGTAGTGACTAGCATATTTTAAAATAATAATCGCAAGTATTAAGACACTAGCAATGATTTAGTAGATAGTAGTACGTATTAGACCTAAGTACTAGAGTTGTAACGATACTAGAATTCTGTACCAATTCGTTACTGAAATTTTAAAAACGATACAGGGACCGATTGGTTATGAATATTAGTTACTTATTATATAGTACCGATTTCAGTACCAATTGGTGCCAAAATTTAGTAACGTAACAATACTAAGTACTTGTTTTGTGACTACCATATTTTTGAATAATAATTGCAAGTATTTAGACACTAGCAGTTATTTATTAGATAGTAGTACGTATTAGACCTTAGTACTAGTGTTGTCACAATACTGAAATTTGGTATCAATTCGGAACTGAAATTGTAAAAACGATACATGGACACTGTAGCATTTTAAAGTCTTGACGATCAGTCAATTCATCGTGTTTAAGAACACGCTCCATGTTCGCGGGAAAGAGACATTTCTAAAATTTCAGTTTCGATATTCAGTATCGTGACAACACTAATAAGTACTTATGATGTGATTAGCACATTTTTAAATAACATTTGCAAGTATTTAGACACTAGCAATGATTTATTAGATAGTAGTATGTATTAGACCTAAGTACTAGTGTTGTCACGATACTAGAATTCGGTACCAATTCGGTAATGAAATTTTAAAAATTATACAGGGACTGATTAGTAATGCATATTACTTACCTACTACATAGTACTAATTTCAGTACTTATTGGTACCAAAATTTTGTATCATAACAACACTAATAAGTACTTATGTTGTGTTTAGCATATTTTTTAAAGAATATTTACAAGTATTTAGACACTAGCAGTGATTTTATTTAGATAGTAATACATATTAGTCATTAGTACTAGTGCTGTCATGATACTGGAATTCAGTACTGACATTTTAAAAACAATACAGAGGCCAATTAGTAATGAATATTTAACACTTACTATATAGTACCAATTTTAGTACCAAAATTTTGTATCGTGCCAACACTAATAAGTACTTATGTTGTAATTATCACAATTTTAAATAACTTTTGGAAGTATTTAGACACTAGCAGTGATTTATTAGATAGTAGTATGTATTAGACATTAGTACTAGTGTTGTCGTGATACTGGAATTCGGTACCAATTTGATACTGAAATTTTAAAAACGCTACAGGGACAGATTGGTAATGAATATTTCTTACCTACTACATAGTAGCGGTTTCAAAACCAATTCGTACCAAAATTCAGTATTGTGACAACACTAATAAGTACTTTTGTAGTGATTTACATATTTTTTTAATTAATATTTGCAAGTATTTAGACACTAGCAGTGATTTATTAGATAGTAGTACATATTAGACGTAAATACTAGTTTTGTCACGAAACTGGAATTTGGTACCAATCCAGTAGTGTAATTTTAAAAATGATACAGGGATCGATTGATAATGATTACATACTAACTACATAGTACCGGTTTCAGTACCAATTAGTACCAAAATTCAGTGTGACAACATTAACAAGTACTTATGCTGTGATTAGCACATTGTTTAAAAAATATTTGCAAGTATTTAGACACTCGCAGTTATTTTTTATATAGTAGTACGTATTAGACCTTAGTACTAGTGTTGTCACGATACTGGAATTCAGTATCAATTCAATGCTGGAATTTTAAAACAATACATGGACACTGGAGCATTTTAAAGCCTTGTAGATCATTCGATTCATCAGGGGGTGGCTCTAATGTCAGCTCATAAACATACCAGCTAATCTTCGCTGCTTTAAAATGTTCCAGTGGTCCCTGTAATTGTTTATGCTCAGTAAACAGAGTTGGTTGAACTGACGACATTCACAGCCAACCACAGTCATTTCTGTTGAGCACGTAACGTAATAGCAAAGCAGCGCCATTTAAGAACCACACAAGGTTCGTGGGAAATGGACATTTAAAAGATTTCAGTACCGATTGGTACCAAAATTCATTATTGTGACAACACTGAGTACTTATGTTTTGTAATTACTGCTAGTAAATCTTACTAGTCAACAATAAATACATTTATTTATATGTACTTGTAATACAAAAAGAAATCTCATTAGTAAGATTTAGAATTAGTAGTATTTACGTGTGTAGTAGTAGCCTAATATTAATGACCAATTACTAGAATCTATGTAATAGCTGCAAGTATCTAATGAAAAGTTCTAGTATTTAACAAATGAGAACAAGTATCAAATGAATATTAGATACTAAATATAAGATTACTTGTACATAATAATGTTACACTTTACAAAAAGGTCTCATTTGTTAACAAGTTAACTATATCAACTTAACCTGAAACCAACAATGAGCAACGTCTGTAATGTTTATTAATCTAAGATCATGTTATTTTCTAGATTTGCTACAATAAAAAAAAAACTGCATTTGTTAATATGAGCAAGCAAGCAATGTTTTTCTAACATCAACAAAAATGAAATGCTTTACAACAGGGGTGACCAATCTCAGTCCTGGAGGCCCAGTGTCTCTACAGGGTTTAGCTCCAACTTGCCTTAACACACCTGCCTGGATGTTTCAAGTATACCTAGTAAGACCTTGATTAGCATGTTCAGGTGTATTTGATTAGGATTGGAGCTAAAATCTGCAGGACAACGGCCCTCCAGAAACAAGTTTGGTGACCCCTGCATTACAAGATATTGATCATAGTTAGTTCATTTTAAATAATGTTTACAAATGAGGCCAAATTGTTAAGGGTTAAATAACCAAAATATTTGTTGCTAAATGTATGATTTAAATTAAATATATAATTCAACACTAGCTAGAATTGAAACATAGCTGAACCCCTAAAAATATGTTGTTACTTCTACAACTAAATTACTACTAACGACAGAACAGTATTACAGCATTACCCAAAGTTCTAGTATCAATTTAACAGGAACTAAAACTAATAAATGCACACCATCTTCTAATAAACAACTTAAAAACTACTAGTGCCTAGTGTTGTCACGATACTGAATTTCGATACCAAAATTTTAAATGAGCGTGTTTTTAAACAGCACTGATTGGCCATTGTGTTCATGAGCTGTTCGTGTGGACACTGGAGCATTTCAAAGTCACATTGGATTGCTCGTATGTCAGCTCATAGACAGACCAGCTGATCACTGATGGTTCGATCCGAAATTCAGTATTGAGACAAAACTATTAGAACCAGATCTGGTACTAGTACAAATATAGAATAAGCACTACTACCTAATGGAAAAGATACCAGTAGCAAAACATAAGCACCAATAGCATGTTGAAGGAATTAAGGTTAAAGCAGCTTGCCATACACACAGCCCACTAAAATAACTCTACACCTGTGATATAATCTGCATATTAAAACTGGGTGATCTGGACTGTTTGGACAATGGGCTTCCAGAGGAAAACGGACTCCCCGGGGAAAGGAGATCCTGGCTGCGTGCCGATCGGCCTAGACGCTCCTCCTGCAGGCTGATGGCGGACAGATAGTGAGCCCTGTCCGCACTGAGGCTTCCCAGCGATAGGCTATCTGTGGGTCCTGATGAGCCGTTGAGGCCGGTACAGTCAAGAGACTTGCTAGAAGATGTGCTGCTGGCTTTGGGAGGAGCACCAGCGAACGGAGGGATGTAATGCGGGTCTAGAAAGCGTCTGGGAGCGCTGGGACTGGGACTGCGGCTGCATTCTGCAGTCCGGAGGCTGACGGCTGGAGGAGGGGATTGGTGGCGTTGGTGGAGGCTTCTCAGGGCGGCTCGGGTGTCCGCGGACGTGCTCTCCCTGTGTCTGGCTCCTGGCTCTCTGGAAGGTCGAACGCCGGTGATGATCCAGTCACGTTTCACACTGCTAGGCTGACTGCTGCTGGAAGCCCCAGAGGAAAAGCCTTCATCTGGGTCAAAAGAGTCCTCGCCACAGCTCACGCCGTCTGCATCTAAAACACACACACAGAGAAAGAGAGAGGGAGGGAGGAAAATTTAAATATGGGAAACAGAACGCTGGATTAAGTAGATTTGCATTTCCTGGAGGAAATACCAGCGCTTGCAAGGCACAGAAAGAAGTGTTAGGTGCGCTTAAAAGTAAGCTAGAGCTTTGTCAGCACGGCTGTGAAATGCAGCATCAGACACTCAGCATGCATCTTGTGTTGATTCTGCTGCACAGCCCATACAAAACAACATGACGCCGTCTTTAAAGTGTAAAGCTGTGGTTATACTATTCTGCATTTGCTTGGTTTATTTCCATTTATACACATGTGGATGTTGAACTCAAGACTCACCAAAAATTTTGATTTGAAGAGTTCGTTTTTAAATATAAAACAGTTACTTTATTTTTAAAAGTAAAATTTTTATTCAGCACGGATGCATTAAATTGATTTAAGGTGATGTTAAAGCAGGGTTTCCACTTCAAGTCATTAAAAAAGATAAAAACATTAAAATAATAACAGTACATAAAACGGTTTTAGTTTGAATATAATTGAGCATGACTTTAATAACCAATACAACATTGGATAATTTACCTACTTTTTTATTTATTTACCTAAATAGATACATTTATCAACAACAACAAAAATCTGATTAATTACTGTTGGCGTGTTCCCTCTTCTAAATCCGTTAAATCAAGTGTAAGACAGTAATGCATGCTTTTGTGACCACTCTGTTAGATTACTGTAATATACTGTACGTGGGGAGTAGCAGGTCAGCTATTGTCAGTTTGCAAATGGTGCAACATGCAGCATGCCTGGTACTCGCAGATATGACAACACGGTGTTAGCTTCGTTTCATTGGTTGCCAGTTCATTTTAGAATACAGTTTAAGATTCTTTTATTTGTATTTTAGCTGATCCACCCTTATAAGCCCACTCGTTTTCTCAGGTCAGCTGATCAGCTTCTCCTGATTATGCCAAAAACAAAGCAAAACGATTGTGCTTTCGCCATTGTAGGTCCTAGACTTTGGAATGATTTGCCGCTGTCTGTTTTCTTTGGCATTTGATACCAGATCTTAATAACTGGTTATTTTAATTGATATGCCTTTTTAGGTAGTTTAGCTATATTTTATGGTGTATTTTATATACTCATATGCTTATTTTGTTACATATTTCTGTACAGCACTTTGACGCACTTCTGTGTTTTTAAAGTACTCTATAAAAAAAAATTTGACTTGACTAAATTTGATCGCTCAATAGCTGTTAACAAACTTTACATTTAGCAATGTTTTGAAGTGGTTGTTTTGAAGCCAACACACTTAAAATAATAATTGCGCTAATATGTTAGCCTTAGTTAACATGTAAAGTTTTGTTCTGACTTGTGATGTTGCACAATCAGCTAAAATGTTTCTAGAATTTATTTTTATGTATGGGCAATATACACTCACCGGCCACTTTATTCAGTACACCTGTCCAACTGTTCGTTAGCGCAAATTTCTAATCAGTCAATCACATGGCAGCAACTCAATGAATTTAGGCTTGTAGACATGGTCAAGATAATCTGTTGTAGTTCAAACTGAGCATCAGAATGGGGAAGAAAGGTGATTTAAATTACTTTGAACGTGGCATGGTTGTTGGTACCAGACAGGCTGGTCTGAGTATTTCAGAAACTGCTGATCTACTGGGATTTTCACGCACAACCATCTCTACAGTTTAGAGAGAATGTTCTGAAAAAGAGTAAATATCCAGTCAGTGGCAGTTGCCTTGTTGATGCTAGCAAATGCCTTGCTAATGCCAGAGGTCAGAGGAGAATGTCCAGACTGGTTCAAGCTGATAGAAAGGCAACAGCAACTCAAATAACCACTCGATACAACTGAGGTTTGCAGAAGAGCATCTCTGAACACACAAAATCTCCAACCTTGAGGCATATGGGCTACAGCAGCAGAAGACCACGCCATGTGCCTCTCCTGTCAGCTAATAACACGAAACTAGGGCTATTACTGAAGGATATTTTTTTGGCACACTTCAGGCTCATTAGTACCAATTATGCATTGTGTCAACGCTACCCGAGTATAACACAGTCTGCCTGAGTATTGTTGCTGACCATGTCCATCCCTTTATGACCACAGTGTACCCATATTCTGATGACCACTTTCAGCGCGAATCATTTAAGACAGATTTCTTGAACAGGTCACCGAGTTCACTGTACTCAAATGGCCTTCACAATCACCAGATCTCAATCCAATAGAGCGCCTTTGGGATGTGGTAAAACGGGAGATTCGCAAGATGGATGTTCAGCCGACAAATCTGAAGCAACCGTGTGATGCTATCATGTCAATTTGGACCAAAATCTCTGAGGAATATTTCCAGTACCTTGTTGAATCTATGCCATGAATGATTAAAGCAGTTCTGAAGGCAAAACGGGGTCCAACCCGGTACTAGTAAGTTGTACCGAACCAAGTTGCCAGTGAGTGTATATTGCATCACTAAAAATGATTGAGGTCACATCCATTTGTTGTGCGATAATTGTGGCAGGCCAAGCATTGATGGTAAAAATCTTTATATGGATTAGGTAATTAGTGAATAATGACATTATCATTACTTTATTATTGAACACAAACCATACAAGTATTGTAGTTTATGAAAATGCAAGATCAAAGTATAGTGTACACTACTAAACTGTCCCCGAAATGATGTTTGATAGAATCTGTACATTATGTAACAAGATATACGAGAAAAAAATTTTATATTTATTTCTTGCCTTGCAAGCACTGTTTCCCGGTCATAAATGAAAGGATTAAACACAAATGACAGTACAACACTAAGGTATGTGGAGAAACTAGTAACAGACAAAAGGAAGCTTTTTTCATGCAGTGGAGTTGGTGTATTATTAATGCCAATGGAGATCATCTATGATGAACAAGGGCAGGGCTTGTGTATGGACTGTCTAATGGTGAGATGCTCCTGAGCCCCTGCCTACCCCCTTGCAAGGTTAGCTGAATGGTGCACTTTATCCGCCCGCATGGCACAGGATTGTCGGCTCTCTCCGTGGGAGGGGTGTATCGGCTGGGGGTGACGGAGGCGTAGAATTCAGCCGTGGTTGAGAAATCAAAACAATCTGAGGTGAAGACAGTGAGCCAACTGAACATGATGCTGACAGAGGGAAAAGAAATTCACACACACAACAATGTCCTCCTTTTCTTGATGCTTGAATGGGTGTAATGGAGGGACTGTCAGGGATGTCATGTAAATCTTCACTTTATGATTTTAATGATCATGGAGGAAATGAACGTGCAGAAAACAAGCCAAATAAAATGATGGGCATTTAATAAAGGGTTTATTTTCTGTGTGTGTGTATATATTTGACGTACCTTCTCGTTTCCAACGGAGGCGGCGAATGGAGGCGGCAGTGACAGCAGCCTAAGAGACGCATCTCCCAGCAGGTGTTACTTCCACCTCCAGAAGATTCCGTGAGCCCTCTGGAGGACGGGATGGAAGAGAGCGGCTAATTGCATTTGCCACCTGAGGATTAGAGGTCAGTGTAATGTGGTCAAATATTAATACATACATATTTCATTTAAAGGTTATTATTGAAATATTCATGAACTACGATGAATAACATTTAAAAAACAAGTTAAACTAAGTTATATTTTAATAATAGCATTAGTAAAAGGCATTAAATTATGCACACATCTATTAAGATGTGCAATAAGTCTGGTGTCCCAGCATGTGTCTGCAGTTTTGCCTAAAAATACCTTACGGATCATTCATTATAAATGTTCCTTTTTCGGGTGGAATCAAAAGCAGGCAGGTTTCGTGAAAGTCTCTTTAAATACAAATGAGCAGCCTTTAAATGCAAAGGAGTAACACTCTTGCAGAAGAGTGTTTTGCTATTGTTAAATACTCCAGCAAAAACTAAATATTTGCTTGCATTTTAGTCCGCATATACAGGGATAGATATACAGTGGTCCCTTAATATAACGTGGTTCACCTTCCGAGTCCTTGCAGTTTTGTTGATATATATTTATATATATACATATATATACATATACATACACACACACACACACACACACACACACACACACACACACACACACACACACACACACACACATATATATATATATATATATATATATATATATATATATATATATATATATATATATATATATATATATGTGTGTGTGTGTGTGTGTGTGTGTGTGTGTGTGTGTGTGTGTGTGTTTGTGTATATTTTTTATTTATTTATTAGGATCCCCATTAGCCATTACCAAGGAAGTGGCTATTCTTCCTGGGGTCCATCGAACATAACACAAAATTACATTAATACATAACAACAAGACCAATAAAAACATTAAAATACAAAATTCATACATAACATCCAGATCAACAATCCACTTAATATTGTGCCATTAAATATTTCTTAAACCATTTTTCAAAC